GAAAATCAGATGGCTAAGCAGAATAATAGGGTTCTTAAGCAAAAGCTTTATATGATTTTGGCTAAACATTTTGATCTATGAATAGAAATTTAGCCATGACTCTCATTTAACTTTCCATATCATCAGCTTTTTCATTTTCATCAAACAAACCATATCCAGTTGGTAATTCATTATATGATAATTAAATATTCTCTTTAACAGAGGATTATGAATCATTTTCAAATTTATATTTATCCTTTATTTCTTACATCAAATTTTTTAACTTCAAATCTAGAGAATAATTTAAAAAATTTAATTCAAAAATCCATGTTGGACAAAATTATCTCGATTCTTCTAATTTTTTATCAACTTCTTTTGTAAAACTTGTAAAATCTCCAACATATGATATTGTATTAAGTTCATTATGATTCATATCAATTAATATATTTTAAATCTTATAATTATTTTAATGTCCAATCCAATTACTTGTATATTCATTTGAACATAAATCTATAGCTCCTATTATATATTTATAAATTTCAAGTTCAATTCCTTTCTTATCTACATTTCTATAACTCTCTAATAATAGTTTGCTAATTTTATTAAATTTCCCATCAACTAAATTAGCAATTACTATTTAACACCAGAATCTCATAGCATATCCCAATAATGAAAATTTATAATTTTTTTAAAAAACAGGTAATGCATTATAAATCTATTCAGTTTCATAATTTATATTTAGTATCAACTTTTGAAATTGATAGTAGATTAGATTATATATCTTGATATTATCGATATATTAATATTCCTTAAGATATTTTTATAAAATTCCTTAAAAAAAATCACAAACTAAATAAATAATATATATTCCTTTAAATAGTTTTTCCAATTTGTTATTTTCAAATTTAATATGATAATATGATTTAAACAAAGGAATCAATCCAGTTGTTATATTAGCTTAAATACATTCAGCAATAAGTAATTCTGTCTCATTTAAATTTCCTAAATATTTTTCACCAAGGGAATATCTTTACTTAGAAACTTAAATTTAAAATTAATGTGATGTAATTTATTAAATATCATCTGAACTTAATATCAAAAGAGGCTCATCAAATAACTTTTTTAATTAATTTTGTTCTAAATATTATGAGCCAACATTAAAAGATTAATTGCAAAGTTAAGTTAGATCCTTAAAAATAAGTTTATAATCTGTGCTTATTAATTGGAATTAGAAGTGATCTTCGTTGAATTTTAGCTCAAGAGAATAAATTTTCATATTACTCTCAATTTACTCCTATAACAATTGAAAATCTTGATTTTTATTATTTTAACCATTGTCTTAAAGTGATAATTAATCAGAGATTTAAATTTTACTTACTTGAGTTTTATCTTGTTATTCGTTATTTTCTTCTGCATAACATCTATTAAAAAAATTTCCCATTAAAATAAATTTTATAAATTGTATTCTTTTCACAAATAAATTTTTGATATAAAATTTGAAAGATAACTATTCAAAACAAAATAAAAAATATCTTTAAATCAAATACATATAATGGTAAAACTTAAATATTACATTAACGACATTTTTAAATATAAATCTCAATTATTAAACTTTTTTCTATTAAATTGATGCTTGAATAAACTTGTATTTGGGTTATTTTTTAAGACTTCTAATAATAATTCACTTATTATTGTTTTTAGTACTTTTTTTTAATCTTATGTCATCTTCCTGGATTATTTAAGATCTTTTTCAGCTGAGCCATTGCTTAAGTAATTTTCGAATACATCTCTAAACTCTTAACAAAATTAGTTTTCATATAATAATTAATGTAAATCATATAAGCTGAACTTTTTAGAAAATTATTTTTTCTATTACATATTTTCCATTTCTTATTTAATAGTATTAAATTAATTTATATTGCAATATTTCTTGAAGCTACACATAATCAATTATACTATTAAATTTAATTATTATTGGAAAACTTATTGTTTTTATTGTGATTTTGCTCCAACTCTTTCTTCTATTGAAAATCCAAACTAATCCTTTAAAATCTTAGAAACCTGTCCTATCAAATTATCTGGAACTTATAATATTCCTTCAGTATTATTAGATTCAATAAACTGTACCTTATTCTACATTATATTCAGTCTAAAAATAATAATAATAATGAGATTTAAAAAAAAATGCATAATATTTGAATGCTTTATAAAAAATTATATTATTTTAATCCAAGAAATTTATAATTAATATATAACTAATTTAACATCAGATTATCAAAATTGACTTTATTAGATCTACTTAATAAATTTATTCAAACAAAAAAATGATTTTTTCTAACTAATTTTGATTTAATAGCTTATTGAAATAATTATGATAAAAAAGAAGAAAGAAGAATAAATGATATAAATATAATACAATTATATTCTAATGAAATATATCAAACTTAGAATTGTTTTAATTAAAATTATGCTATTTAGAATGATGAAGAAATATTTTTATTGAATATTTAAAAACTATTTATCGTTATAAATTATAAGTACATTATTTCTTTAAATTTTGTTTTATATAAAAGTAGATAATTATTATATAATTTTCAAACCATCATAGTTATTCAATGATTGCATAAAATATAGGTATGCTATTTAGTTAAGTTGAATTACTCTACTTTTAAAAAGTAGAAGCTCCAATGGATTTGGATTAAACACTTGATTTAATGGAAGTAGGTAGGAAGAAAGATTTAAATTAATTGTCAAAAATTTATTTATCATTTATGAAATCATATTTAGCAGTTAATGATAAGATGTTAATTGCTATAAATCATAAAGCAATTATCTAAAGTGAAATTTATATTCCAAAAATAATAGAAGATTTGAAATTAATAATGGAAATTATTCAAAATTATGAAGATAGATAAGATCAATACCCTTCATAATTAGCATTAGTATTGAACTGGATTTTAGCTACATTGACATTAATAATTATTTAATCAAAAAATAATTGTTACAAAAGTAATCATTATGATTATATTTAAGTTATTGAAAGTCTTTTACTAAAATTAATCAAGTTTTCACTTAAAATTATTTATATTCCTCTTAAAAAAGTAATGATAATCTTTTTAGTCTTATTATAAATTGAACTTAATGAAGAATTACCTTCAGATGGACAATATTGGTTAAAGATGTCAGAATATTAAAAAGCAATAAAATAACCATCTAAATTTTTTATGAAAAATGCATCAAATACTGAATAATTTTATGTAAAAATAATAAATATTTTAAGAGAAGATTAATTTTAAGTTAAGATGAAAATTAAATGGGATAGATAATTGTAGTTGGATTACTTAGAGGTTTAGTTAAAACAGCAGGGTCGGTATCGAACAATTAACAAGGAGTAGATATTCATAGAGAATGGGAAGAATATTGTAAGATTTTAATTTTAATTTAAGATTTGAATGATAGTAAATTAGCAAGTGCAGATTATGCAAAATATAAAGAATAATCAAATTAATAATAAGATTTAAGAACTCAAAAAAATGAAGTGATTGATGAATTTGATAGACATAGAATTGTTTTGAATTATGCAATAACTGAATTCTTATTATTGTTTTTAAAAAAATTGAGAAATAATTGTAAGGTTTAATGTTCATACTTAATTTAATTAATTACAGATGCAAATGGAGTATTAGTTTTCTTAAAGTTTTTTGAAAAGTTTAATCCTTAAACAATTTCATCTACTAAAATTGATTATGATCAATTAAATACATAATAAATATTAGAATAATGTGTTAGTAATTTGGTTAAATTAATTTATATTACATGTAATAACTTTTCAGATAAAATTAATAATTATCTAATTGATTATAAAGAATATGTAATTATATTTATAATAAGTTAGTTAGCTATAAAAAAATTTCCAGGAATGTTTCCAGAAAATAAGAAAATTAAAAAATATAGTCATTTACTATTAAAAATATAAATTCTAAATTTTAATAAGAAAAACTTAAAACTTGGAAACACTATGAAATTAATATCAGAAGTTTATTGTAAATACAAATAGAATACTAAGAATGAAAATAAAAATATATCAAAATAAGATTAGCTATTGGATTCTCTTTATAAATTCGAAAAATGCTAAGATAAAATATATAATTGTGATATTATTTAATCTTAAGAAGTATATATTGATATATATATATAAAATAGGAACTTAGAAAATTACATTTTGATTATAATAATTATCATTATAATAACACAATTGATTCAATTCCAGTTTATAATGATGCTGAACCTAATTATAAATAGAATGATTATCTTGAGAAATTATAAAATCAACCTATAGATCATGATTTTATTTCCAAATACGAAGAATGGTTGGAAGAAAATGTATGGGATTATTATGATTGAAGTTTTTGCTCAATTAAAATATAACTTTATTTAAAATATTCTATAATTTTCAATTATTTATATATTTTTCTTACAATTATTATTCTATCTAATTTATTTTTTTAATTATTATTTTTATTTAAATTCAATCCCTAATTTCAATAATTAATTATAATAATTTAAATTTAATTTATTCTACAGGCTATTATATTATACTAAATAATTTATTAATCCGTTTAATAGAATATATTATTTAACATCATCAAAAGATATCTTTGTAAATTGAAAGTTTTTATTCCTTAATCAAAATTAATATACTTGATAAGAGATTACATCAATTAATTTATTCTAATTAATAAAAATAACAATTCAATATTATTATCCTTATGATAAATTATATTAAATTATTAAATTTTCCTTTTTTAACAATAAATATAAGATGAATTTAATAATTCAAACATTGAAATAATAATTATCTAAGATTTCGCTTTGTAAATGTACCTAAGGTATACCACATTTATATTTCTAATAGTAGAAATTATTAAAATCTCTTGATCTAAACAATTTCTATACTTCATAATATTCTTTAATTTTATAGTTATAATTCATATGTGAATTATAATTTTTAAAATAAATAAATGACTGAGGCAAAGTCTAAAAGAGATTTAATATGGGAAGAAAAGAGAAGATAGAGAGAAGAACGATTACTAAGTATAATATAAATATCAATGTAGGAATGGAAGGATAAATGTTAGAAAATAATGCAAATTAATTCTAACTCCCACCTCCAAGATTAGATGATTAAGTACCTATTTCGTTCCCTTCTCAACCTTAAGAATATGAACCCTACATCCCTCCAGAACCTTATGTACCAATCGAAAACTATCGAAATCCTGATCCACCCAGAATGTATTAAGGATCAATCCCTCAGCAATCTGATTTTAGGGAATAAAGAGATAAAAATAGTTAATTTTAATAATAACCTGCAATACAATAAAGTCCTTTAAAAAATCCTATTAAATAATAGTAGGATGAATATAGAGAATATTTGAAAAAACAGATGGAAGATAAAGAAGCAGAGAAAAAGAGAAGAAGAGAAGGAACAAATAATAATTAATAATAAATTCAACAAACTTAATTTCAGTAATAATCTGCAAATCCTCCTCCTCCTCTTCCAACTTAACCTATTAATAGATAAAAATAAGAATATGGTGAATTTTTAAGATAATAAATGATGGAAAAAGAAGAATAAAAGAAACGAAGAATTTAATCAGGAAATAATTAAAATCCCTAATCATAATACTAAGTCTAATAATAATCTTAACAATACTAGTAATAAATCTATTAGCCGTAATAATTTGAAATTAATTAAGGTAGTTATTCTTAAGTCAATCAATAATCCATTATTCCATATTAATAACAACAGCCTTAATAATTCAATTAGAATAAATAATAAAAATAAGAATATGGAGATTATTTAAGAATGCAAATGCAATTAAAAGAACAAGAAAAAAATGACAGAAAGAAAAATCTTTAGTAAAGAATGGAAACTGGAGATGCATTTCCTTTTGGTAAAGGTGGAGGTGGTGCTCCAAATTAAAGAGGTGCCAATATTCAAGTAGCTCAAAATTATAATTAACAATAAATATATCAACATTAAATACTAAATTAATAATAACCTTAATATGTTTAGCAATAATAAAGTTTTTAATAACCAATTTAATAGGTTTAATATTAACAAAGTATTATGACTCCTTAATAATATTAATATCAAGAATAAAATATACCATTCGATTAATAACCAATTTTAACGGAACCATAAGGAGATCCTTAATTGAAAGGAGGGAGAAATAGATTAATGATGGAAAATTAAAATATTGATGATATAAAGAAAAAAGAATAATAGAAAATAGAAATGCAAAGAGTTTTATAAGAATAGATAGAAGAAAAGAAGAGAAAAAAAGAATAGGAAAGATTGTAAAAAGAAATGGAAGATAGATAAGAAGAAGAGAGATTTCGAAGATAAAAGGAGTAGGAGGAAATGGAAAAGAAAAGAGAAGATGATTTGAAGAAACAATAATAAGGAAGTAATATTATTTAATTAAATATTAATTTTAGAGTTTGAATAGGATAATATTGATTTAAAAGAAAAACGAAGGTTAGAACGTATTTAAGAGAGGAAAAATAGAAAAAATCAATAATAAGATGAGGATTAACCATAATAGAACTTTTAGGGATTTGAACAATAACAACAATAAATACCACCTCCCTCTCGTAATCTTCCTCCTTCTTAGCCAAAATCAGAGAATTATTTAAAGGAATTCCTTATGAATGAAAAAATGAAAGAGGGAGTTAGTCCACATTAAAGTATTCTTGATTTTTATAGAAATGGTCCTTAACCTATGAATAAAGTTGAAATTTAATAAAATAGAGAAATTGATGATATTAAAAGATAAATGCTTTAATAATAAGAAAATTTGCAATAATAAATATAATAAGTTATGAGTTAAGCTCAAATGGCAATAGAAGGTAGAAATAAAGCAGAATAAGAATTGATTGCTCTAAAAGAATAAGTTAAAAATAAGTATTTATAAGAAGAAAGACATCATGATGATTTAATGATTGCATTAGTAAAAAATGATCCAAAATGGGAGAAATAAGTTTTTCCACCTCATCTTTTGGCTCAAGCTGAGGTTGGTGCATACAAAGATTTATCTATGCCAGCATTAAATGAAAATTTCAATTTTCCTAATCTTAGTTAAAATAAAGCACCTACATTTGCACCTGCTTATGAAAGCAAACGTAAATTATATATATAGATAATATAGCTCTTGTGTTGAAAGAAGAATCAAAAGAATAAAAATAAAATTTTAGAGAATAATTTGGACTTTAATCTTTAGTTTCAGATTCTAATATGGTACCTATTGATCATAATGCATCATTGGTTCCATAAATACAACCTATGAATAAAAAGGTTTCAGAAGTCTAATTGGATAAGATTGATGAATTAAATGCTCATTTTGAAGACAGTCTTAAATTAGGAATAGGTGAGACCTATTAAATAAGACATGAAAATTACAAATAGAGACCTCCAAGTAATAATGGATAACATCCATCTTGGAATGTTCCTTCTATTGACTCAGAATTTGTTAAGGAAATTGATGATCTTTTAAAATATAAACCAGCTTAATAGACTTTGAATCGTCCTCCTTCAGGATTTACAAGAAATGGGCTTGAATAGAAATAATTATAATAATCTATATCTAATAGACCTCCATCTTAAACTAATTAGAGACCACCTTCAACTTTTGGACGTGTTGCTTAAGGGATATTGGGATCTACTGATTTAAATTATAAGGGTATTACTTTAGATTCTGAATTTCCTGATATGACAATGATCAAAAAAGTAACAAATACTGATACAATGGATATAGCAGGAATTCATAAAAAGATGGATTAAAAATTAATGCATTTAAATGAAATTGAAGAAGATGATGATTTAAAGAAATTAGATAAATTACTTTATTAATATAACTAATGATCATATAAATTTACATGTAAAATTGATATACTTGTTTTCATCATTAATAAATTATTCTTAAAATGATAAAAATAATTTATTTAAATTTATGAAATCAAAAAGATCAACATCTGCCCACATTACTTTGAATCCTTAACTCATTAAACAAACATAACCTTCTTCTCCAGTAAAAAATAAATTATAGGAAATAAATGATAAAATTAACTAAATGTTTGTTAAAGCTAAATATCCTCATGATTAATTAAAAAATATTGATAGTCATTTATAATAGCAATTTCATAGTTCAAAAATATAATCAACAATATCGAAAGAGAAAACTAAACTATTATAATAAATAAGTTCAAAGGATATCTAAATAAAAGAATTAGAATAAAAGATTGATGAATAAAATAAAGAAAATTCATATTTGAAATAATAGTTAGAAAAATTTTTTAAAATCACAATTGAAATGGAATAATTGGAATAATATTGTTCAAATATAATTTAAGAAAATTAATAATAAAAACAGTAAATTTATTAATTACAAACTTCATTTAGTTTTTTATAGTCGAGTAACCTGATTGCATTAGGTTAAGAAATAAATCAACAGATTTAATGTTTAAATAAATCACTTACTAAGTGTTTTAAATTGTTTGAATATTCTAGTAAACAAGAATTCGATGATTTATAGGTCTTAATTAAAATTAATTCAAGTCCAAATTAATATCATAAATAAGAAGGAAATCTATAAATAATACTAAAGGAATCTTTAGAAAATTTAAAAAGATTAATATATGAAACTGATAAATAATTTGATATAAATTATAAATAGGTGAGTAGTAATGTATTTTATTCTTATAATTATTGAATAAAATAAGGTACAGTATTTATTAAATATCTAATTGATTAAAAGAAATCTTAGGTATTAGATTATTTAATTTTCCTTTTCATTTTATGTCTTTTATCAAAATCAATAAGGATTCTTTTATTTCTCAAATAATGTCTAAGTAATTAATTAAAAAATTTTTTGAATTCCATTTTTATTGGTAATTAAGTTCTATAGGTTGTTTCAAATTAATGAACTTATCTTACTCGAAATTAATAAAATTTATCTTTTTTATTATTAAGAATTATTTAATTATTTTGAATGAATAATATTATTTATCTAAGGTTTTTGTTAAAAAATATGATCCTTTAAATACCTTTAGTAAAATGTATTCATTTTATTATTATTAAAAAAAATCTATTAATCTAAGCACCAAATATTTAAAAGGCTGCAAAATCTTATCAATAAATTATCATTCAGTTTTAAGGATAATAAAAAAAAATATTGAGAATATTTATATACACAACTATAAGTATTTCCTAATTTCAAGGCTTCTAAATTTAAAAGTATCATCTAAAGGAAACCTTAACCCTTTATTTCAAGTTGAATATATTTATATTTAGTTTTTTAGTTTAAAATTAAATAGAATAAAATTATTATATTATGCAATATAAAAAGTTGAATAACTAAATTCAATTAAATAATTTTAGATAATATTCCTAATATAAGGATTTTTCTCAATATATATATATATATAAAACCAAACTTTTTTTTATATTTTAATTAAGAAATAGATTGATTGAAATGTATATTACTATTACGAATAATAGATATTACAAATGAATAGTTTTAATTTATTGTTGAAATAATAAATTATTTATTTGTTAAGATGTGTTCAATAACTCAAAATAAGGAAGAATATATTTGTATGAATGAATAATGTTGTACATCTAATAAGATATAGGTCTAATGTTATAAATGTATAACTAAAATACATCGTTAGTAAATCACATTGACGATTTTAAGAAGATTAGTTTGATTAAGTAGGAAGTTGAAAGAGAATAAAAGATAGAATTAATTTTATAAATAAAAAAATAACTTCAATGAATGATTTTAAGAAAGAGAAGTTTTAAATAATTGAAAGTTATCAAAATAATCCAAAAAAGAATTTTAGATAAACTAAAATCATATGTAGATAATGAGATTGCTTAATTCATATATAAGTAAATAATGGAAATGAATAAACTTACAGAATATTAGTGCAAAATCATTCATCAATACTAAAATTATATTAATAAACTATAAACTTTTATATTGAGGATATAAACTAAAAAAAAATAGTTGCTTTAGATTAAAATAAACAATTATATATTAAAGATGGATTTAGATTTACATCAATAAATATCAAAGTATAAATATATCTACGTTTTTAGATATTTATAAAGCAATAGTTTTTGGAATAGTAAGCCAAGTAATTGATACAAAGACCAAGTTTAAAAAATTAATTTTCGTTTAAATCTATAATTATTTTGATTTTAATAATAGCATTGAATCAAATTATGATATTTTTTTAATATTGTAATGGTAAAAACGAATTATAATAATATATGGATAACTTTTAATTTATAGTTAATGAATTATAAAGTAAAATAGAGGAAAAAAGAGATTCAATGTTTTATGAATTTAAAATAGAATTGTTCTAATAAATGAATGAAATGAACGATCAAATAGATATATTAAATTAAAAACTAGACTAAACTGAAACACCATTCAATTAATTTAAGAATATTTTAATAGTAAATTAATGGGAACAATATTTAATATAATTTTTGAAACTGTTAGTTTGCAATCAAAGAGTATTAAATAAATTTAAGAATAATTAATAATTTAATTTTAATTGATGGAAAGATATTTACAGATAATAATCGAACATCATCTATTTTATAATTGTAATAATTAAGAGTCATAAAGAGTGAGGAAGACTTAAAAATATTTAAAAAAAATAGTAATTTAAATATTGAGAGTGTTTAAAGATAGAAGACACAACTTATGAATAATATTATGAAAATTTCATTAAAGAATATAAATTAAAGATTAATAAAAAATTAATGAAAAATTAATAGGAAAAATTCATGTTAATTTAAATGTTCGGGATTTGGAAGATTTTAATAATTATTTATAATGAATTATTTACCAAAGTATTTAACAGATAAGTAGTCTAACAAATTTAGAAAATTACTAATAATGATAAATTATATGTGTTGGAGGAATGAAAGTAGAAAATCCAAAAGTATATTATTAGTAGCTGGTTGTGATTATTAATAAAAATATTTTAATTTACATATCATTAGTAACATGCAAAACAAAGTTAATAAGGAGATATCCATTGATATATGGTTTATTAATATAGTTATTGGTTTGAGAATGGAGAAAATGGGGGGAGAAGGATTGAGAACTAAAGTGACCTAAAAAACTCTATAAATATAAAATGGTTATGTATGCTTTATGATAATTTAATCTATTTTGTTAATAATATTAAAATCAAATAAATTTAAAAACATAAGATTTCCATATACAATATGTGATATTTTTAAGTACCTCAGAAAGGATATCTAATAAAAAAAGTCATGAATCTATCGCTGGAGTAGTATAAAAAAGTTATATTTAAAATAGAATTATTTTTCTGGACTGCCTGGATACTAAATTTATTATGAAAAATCATCAATTTTTCTCATTACTGCCTCTATATATTGCTATTTTGGATTTTAGATTTGTAAACTAACTTAATTTTTAAAAAAAATCATGAACATGAACTTCAACTAATCCTATGCCAATATGGTATTTTTTATTTTTTAGTAATATGCTTGTAATTTTCATAAACATCTCTACAATAATAAAGTCGAATAGCAACACCTAGTAAAATAAGAAGAAGGGGTGGAATAAGAAGTAAAATAAGAGGAAGGGGTGTAATTATCAGGATAAATGGAAGATGAAAGTTTGAATTAATTAAAATAGGAGAAAAAATATCAGATTGCTAACGAGAATCAGAATGATTATAACAAAATTCATATATTTCCTGGCTAAAGTAAGAATTATTACAAAAACATGGGTTAAAAGATAGTTAGATTTATTTTTGAACACTTTTAAGATGATCAAAATGTGATGGGTGACACTTACATTAAACAATTTATCAAAATAACAAGTCAAGGTTTTAATAGGAATGCTATATTAAAACTTAAAAAATCTAGGATAGCTCGTAAAATACTTAAATTGTTCTTTGCTAATTATAAATGGGTTAAGCCCTTTATATCATAGCATAAAGCAGAACTTGATCTATATTTTAGATATAATACACAAGTCTATAGTCCTAAGAAAAAATAATAGTAATCAAAGACACTAAAAAATGACTAAATCAAACAAAAAGAATGATTAAAATTTGAAGTTGAAATTGCTATTTATAATCATGAAATATTTAAAAATTCAATTCGTTCAATCTGTGCTACTTTTACCTCAACTAGAGAATTTAAGTTAATATATAAATAATATCAATTAATTATATATATATACATATAATTATTTATAATAACAAAAAGTTTTACTTCTAATGAATTAAGGAAATAATGCTGATGATAAATATATTGATTATTTTCTTTATTAGAATGTTCTTAAAAATACAAGTATAAATATATTTTATAAAATCAATATTAATTTCCTTTTGAATTTAAACAAATATCTGATTCTGAAAACTATTTCTACACTCCAAATATAAGAGATTAAAAAGATAATAAAGTACTTTCTTAATTATACAAGACAGTTAGACTTAATATACTCAATAATTATTTATATTTATTTTATAAAAATAGTGAATAATTCAAAATTATCTTAAAATAAAATTGCATTTTCTTTAATATTCTTCTTTTATCTTAGTTAATAAAATTTTGGTTAAATAATGTTAATAGATATATTACTTATGATATTATAATTAATCATTAATTTTGATTTTTGAATAAAATGATGAAATTAATCAAGTCTTTGCTTTTTTCTAAAATTATGAAAGATAAAAAGAAAATATAAATAGGTATTTTAGGAATAAATCAATAAATATGTGATTTGAATTTATTTATATTTTATGAAAAGATAAATATTAAATGAACAATTAAAAATGAAAAAGAATAAGAGTTGCCAAATTTCTCGATCCTTTTAGAATGAATTTTCACTTGAAAGAAAATACAGTATATCTTAAAAAAAAGGGAATAATCATACATCAGGCTCTATGCAAATTTTCGAAATGTGGTCGAAGAAAATGAAAAAGCAATGCGATAATTATTTATAATCACTTAAACATAAATAAGAACAAGAGATGTATAATTATATTTAATTATTTCAACAGAAATAAATCAAATCATGTTCCACCAATTATGTTGAAGAACATAGATATGATGAAACGTAGCGATAAAACCACTCTTCCAAGATCAAGAATTACATCTTTCAATTAATAAGATTTAAATTAAAGATCCATTAAGTAAATCATCCAATAGGATTAAGAATATATTGGAACTTCAATATATAGTATTAGTGGCAGATCAAATGTCTAACCTTTTTTTTATTAAAGACATAAACTATCTCCTATTCGAGATATTAAAAATTGCATTGATTAATGTGATACTCTACTCCAAGATGTTTAAAGTATTAGTAAGTAAATGATATAAATTAAAATAGGGAGTTTTATTAACCTAAACCAGATAGGTTTAAATTGTATGTCTAAAAAAGACAAAAAGAGAAACTCAAAGAAATGTTTTTATTAAGAAGATTACAATGATTTTATTCCTTTTTATTTAATTTTTAATTCATTATATTAATTAATGTAATAATCATATACTTTAGATAACATGATGCCTAAACAATATTTTGATTATTGCATCAAAAAGTACAATGAAAATGATTATAAAGAAAAAGAAATCATCGTTGAAATCAGTGAACAAGCAATGAAAGAAATTTAAATTTTAAAGTGGTTCCATTAATTTCATAGTAAATAACCATGAGATTATCTTTTTTACCTTAAATTTACAATTAAAATTATCACAATCAATTAATATCATAACTTAAATCCAAAATGTACAGCTACAACTCCATCCATATAATTTTTAAATCCTGCATATCTAAAACCAGTTTCTTCTATTATTTTTAATAATTCTTATTGACTATGAAATTTCTCAATACTCTCTACTAAATATTAATAGGAATGTCTATCATTAGCAACTAATTATCCCATTGTAGGTATAAAATTGAATTAATAAAATTAATTGAAAAAAGATAAAACAGGATTCTGAACTTTACTAAATTCTAAACATTAGAATTTTCCTCCTTATTTCAACACTCTATGAGCTTCTCCTATTGCTTTAGGAATTCTTGGTACATTTCTTATTCCAAAAGCTATAGTATAAGCATCAAAAGTATTTGCTTCAAATGGCAATTCTTCTGCATTTGCACATACAAATTCAATTTCTAATTTTATTATAATATAATATTACAATTTGAATAACCTAATTCATTAGCTCTTTTTTATCCTACATCCAACATAGATTAATTTATATCTAAAACTGTTATTTTTAGATTTTCATTAAACATATTATTTCCTTTATGTTTCTCTAGTATACGAAATGCTATATCACCAGTACCACCTGCAACATCTAATACTCTAATAGATGAATCTCCATTTTTTAATGATCCTAATTCTTCAACAAAAGAATTCTTCCAGCATCTGTGTAATCCAACACTCATAAAATCATTCATTAAATCATAACTATTTTTTTAATAATTAAGTACTTATTTGCAACATTATGAAACACTTAATTTACATGTTCTTATTTGTCTTCAAGTTTTACTTTCTTAAAACCAAAATTAGCTTCTTGACAAAATGTAAATACTCTCAATTTAAATAGTTATTTTATCATAAATAAAATATTATATAAAAAATACACAGAATTGTACATCTAATTTTATTAATTTATCTTATTTTGAGGATAATATAATAATTGTATTCTTTTTTACAAAAGTATATCATGTATTAAATCAAACTGAATTTGCTTTCAAATAATAGAAAAATTATATTTATTAAAAAATCTTATAAGATAATGATAAAAATACATCAGAATTCATCTCAAAATACTATTCAATCTATTAATTTTTTCTCTTCTTTGGATTTATATGCAGCTTCTAATTATTCAAATATATCATCATAATTTTCTTCTTAAATAGGTTATTGTATTGGTTAATATTAAACTTCATCATTAAACCGCACATTGAGCTCCTTTTTAACTGATTTGACTTAAGATTATAAATTTTATTTCTTCAAAGATAATTTTAGAGGTTTCTTTTATGAAGTTGTAGAAATGACTTGTTATTATTATTATTATTCTGGTTATAAATCTGGCTAACTCTAATTGTTATCAATATAGTTTAAATTTTGTTAAGGCTATTCTTCCTACATTGCTGAATTATTAATTATTGTTTCATTAATGGTTTAATTCATTGAAAGATCATCTATAGGTTGCTCTCCTAATGGATTTAGAACAAAATGCCAAGGAATAAGACCTTTGTGAGCTTTTCTAAGGAATTATAAATGAGTCTTAAAAATAAAGGAAAAATATTACTTAAACACTATTATTCCCTCCAAATTTTTATAATCTATTTGTAAAATAATCAAAGTCATATTTAGGCATGACTTAATAGTGCCATTCTTCTATTACATGCATATATTTGTTTAATTCATCAAGTTCATCATTGCCAAAACGATAATTTTTACATAAATTATATAAATATAGAACTCCTTTTTAAGGATCTGTAATTTATTCAGGTTTCAATCTAAACTATTATACTTTCTTTTTTTTCTTTTAATTCTATAGATTCTAAGCATCTTCTGCTTCATTTTTTTTATCTATTTCTTCTTCTTCTTCATTTCTTGGTGATCTGTTTTCAATAATTTCTTAATCATTTTCTTCTTAATTATAGCTCATATTATTATTATTAATTCATGATAATTTATACTAAAGTTTATTGGAGATATAAAAATAGTTATTAAAGTTTAAGATTTGTAGATTGATATATAATAGATTGATAAGATAAATATTGAATAAAAGTAGTAATAAAATACTTTTTATGGAATTAGATATCTTACACATTTGTAATCTTTTAGATTTTAGAAATATTATGATCTAAAGTTTTGAAAACAGTTATTCCAAGTTAATGAAATTGTGATATTTAAAATAGTTTATGAGTATATATTTTCATGTAGAATTTTTTTCAATTGGATCAATGCAAAATTTTATTAATTTTTCAACTAAGTCTTTTGCTTCAAAAATATTTCAAATCTATGAATTTATTTATGTGGAAATGAAATAGCTAACTAATTTAATCGTTATAATATGAAATTGATTAAGCAATTATAATTAAAAATGAATCAGCTCTTTTGTAGATATTTTATAGATTCCTAATAATATTTTAATAGAGTTATAAATAATTTTAATATCATTTTAAATTAATAATATTCATTTATTCATTACAATAGAATATTCCATTGATCCGAAAATGGCTCCATCAGAATTTTTTGAATTTTTATATGGGTTCCACAATCTAGAGCCTTTCATCTTATTTTTGTCATATTTTTTAATAACTTACAATAGATTATCATTTTGCATATATCCTTAATAGTTATAGTAATGATCAACTGAAAAATTAGTTTATTAAGGATGTGATTGTATATATTCTAATTAATTAAATTAATTCTAATCCAATTCACTAGGCTATCCTTCCAATTCATCTTTTGTTAAATGTTTTGAAGACTACCTTACATTTGATTATTATTTTCGAAGGGATGGAGTTTTATTAAATGATTGTTTAGATTATTATTTATTAAGATCCTTTTTCATAATATTATGTACTACTCTTTTTTTAATCAAATTTTATAATCCTGAGATAGAGATTCTAGGAGGTCTTTGAGGTGCTTCAACCAATTAATCAGAACCTTATTTATCAAAATTAAAAAAGTCTTTGCTTTGTTATTTAAAATCTATCATTAATTTACTACTGATTCCTTATGTGTTTTATTGAATTTGACCGCTATAGATTTTAGGATTAAGTTATTGATTCGTATCTTCAATTTCATGAAAATTAGTCATTGATTAAGTTGAAGTGAATTCTTAAACAGATTCTACTACTTTACTATTCATAGCTAAAGAATTAATTTTATCTCCAGCTCTTTTATATTTTTATCTTTTCATTTCTTACTTAATATTTTTATCTGGCTACATTACTACTCTAAATCGATCTGGTCTATATGAGATTAAAGGGCATTCAATATTAGTATGATTATACAAATTGCAAATATTGCATTTCTTTAAAATGACTTAATAATTATTCAAGTATATAATATTATCCTTAATATTATGAAATCTTTAAAAATCTTTATTACTTACACTATTAAATAATTTAATTAAAGAATTTCTATGAATTCTATATAAGATTGAATGACCATAACTAATTGCTTATGTTTTAGCTGGAAATCCTGTGAAAAATTAATGTTCTCCAAATGTCTCTCCTACTTTAATGGTTTATAAGACTTTATTACTCCTCTCTTCACATAAAAGTACTTGTCCTTCTTGTAAATAATATCTATAAATGTTTTGATATAAATTTTTACAGATATTAATCTTCTAAATCACCATTATTGTATATGACTTCATCTGGTATGTATTTTACTTATTCTATTTTTTATGATAATTATTTTAATATAGTTTATGAAAAGTTATGATTAAGAACAGATATATTCTCCATAATATTCATCTATATACCCATAGTTAATTCCTATCTTAATTTAGCAGGTAGATGACTTATGATTTCCTTTACTTCACCGTAATTTTCATTAAATTCTGTTTATATATAATGTTTTACATAATTTCTTACTCTATTTTAAATAGTCTAATTTAATTAACCTTTCTTCATATAATTATTTATCTGTATTAAACATCTTCTATTTATAAATATTTTACTTACTTATATCTTTATTGAATGTCATAATTGTTCTTTAGAATCATTCCAATGCTGTTCATAGAATATGCAAACATTCCACTACTCAATAACATCATGCAATTTATTAAGAACATTTCATATTGATTAGCAGCTGTTATATCTCCATATCCTACTGTTACCATTGTCATTATTGCCCAATAGATCGAATAATTATATTATACCCAAATAGATGCATCATCAATAGAGTACTTCAATAACCATGATTCACCTGTACTAACAGTCAATTATCCAACATAATGAAGTATGCAAGCCATCACATGAGCAAATGATAGGATAGTTATTATCAATGTAAATATATCTAAAGCATAATTAAAACTTCCTTTTAAAAACATTGTCTCATTGCAATTAGAATAATTTTTTAACATCTTCTTAAATGAAACTAAAATTATTAATCCACATGCAACACTATTAGATATATTATTGATATTTAAGTATTATATTACCCAACAACTTATATCTACAATATCTTCAAATAAATGATAAGTAAAATAATTAGCAAGAATCTTTTTCTAATTAGTTATTGTTTCACCTTATATATTTATTGGTCTATTGGTTTAAATGAAGATTTCGATGAATATTTAAAACATTATTCCTAATTAGAACCACATAAATATATAATTATCTGGTCTGAAAGATACTATCAATGGAGATACCCAAAGACATAATATCTTGATTAATAAGGACAAAAGATCTAAAATCAAAGTCACTTTACTCCCAGGTATAAGAAATATTTATTTATCTTACTATTATGAATTAACTATTTATAATCAAATTAAAATACATTCCACTCTTTTTGAACTATTTTATTCATATTTAAAATGATTTTGAATTACATCTTTGTATTCTCTACTCATTACATAAGAACGCAAAAATAAATTACGTTTAAATTGTTTAACTAACCTCTCTTTTGCTAAAGTTTTAAAAACTTAGTTATCAACTAATTTCAAACTTACTTCCTATTTATTTTTTCTAGTTAACTTATTTTAAATATCAATATCTTACCATTCTACGTGTCCATCTATTATTTTTTGCTGATTAAAATTAAGGATTTGGAGTCTATGCTACTTCTATATAATCATTTGATATTTGAAACAGTGAACTTTTGAATAAGTCATGGGATGACTGTTTTTGAACATTATTGAGTCTATTGTCATCCAACTTTACTTTTGGGCCACAAAAGTTTTAATCAGTCTAATCAAGACTAAATTACTAAGACAATGAATTCATTGATACAAATAAAGATAATAAAAATAATTTTCACTAATTTCCTAATATAGAGAATGACTTTAGTTAATTTATATCATCCTATTTTTATTCAGATAAGTATTTAAATTAAAGATTGAATTATGTTAATAAAATCAATTTTATCAACATTTATATTATGATGATCAAAATTGAATTTACATAAAATTTTAAAGAAATTTCAATATATTATCAATCTTAAAAATAGATGGAGAAATTTTAATCAAATAATTGTTGATGTTGGAATATAATTCTAATTATATAATCAATCATAATTATAATTTATATCAAATTCAATTAACATTTTTGTTTATTTATTTGCCTTAATTAAGTATTTTAAGAGTCAAAACTTTTACATTATTAGAGAAAGTATATTTTCCAAGTTTTTCATTCTACTTCCAAAATCTTCTTTATTTTTTCTTCTGTACTTTTTGAACTTCTTTAATTTATGATTCAATAGTATATTAAGGCATATAACTTCGAAAAGTATTACATACCTTATCCAAATTAAAAGAGGGTTTAAATTATTTTTATAATAATAATTACACTTCCTCAATCATGCAATAATTTTTTATTGCAATTTACTCTTCATTTTATATAAGCATTCTCCTTTAAGATGTTTTCTATTCAACTTATCCTAATTTCTATTTTGAAAAAGATGACACTAATTTTTTTAAATATAATATTACTTTTTTATAATTTTAATGGACCATAATGTTAAGTAGCTCTTTTTTGATTTTATCTAGGTGGAGTATTTTCAAAATGTCCATCATCTTCGGATTATAATAATTAAGATGAACTTCTTTATTGTTCTGAAAAAAATGATTTTTAATTTCCAAACTTTCCTTCTTAATCAGAATCTGATTCTTCACAAAATTGATTATCTTATTGATATAATTTAAGTTATTATGAAATTGGTTGATGTTAACCTAATGCATGATGTTTTCTCTTTGTTCTGATTACTTATCTTCTAAGATTTAGAATTTGATTAAAGTTTTCTTTTTTTAAAATAGCTTCTAAATCAGGTTTATATTAAATTAAAGGACAATCAATTTCTTAATGTATATACCTATTACAAAAGCTGCATTTATGATCAAAAAGGACATAATTAGTTGAAAATATCAACTTCTCTTTGATATGATGGAATATTTCAAAATCTTTTTAATTTTAACGAATTATATCAAGGAATTTCTTTCTACTGATTTTATATAGTTCACTTGGGCTTTGACAAATAGCAGTTTCTTTCGGAGAGAACCCAGTAAAAAAAGAATAATATCCTAAATATTATGAATTTTTGACAGATCTAAGATTTTATTCAGTTTGACATTCCATTAATATAACATCTCCCGTTGATAAGAAATATCTTAAATCAAATTAAAATTATACAAATTATCTTCGTGTTAATCACCTTATTTATAAATGAAATCTCCAGGAATGAATTATATTAACTCTAAGTTTTTTGCAACCTATTATTATGTATATTTAGAGAAATGATTTATTATAAGTTTCATTTTTTTAATAACTCTAGATTATATATCTTAATTTAAATCTTGTTATAAATTCTTAGGTAATTGATTAATAATATTTGCTATTTCATCTTAATTCTCTTTCTTTTCTTAAGCTTATTAAAATCTTAAATAATTTCTTATTCTTCCTTAAGTAGATTCATCAACCTAATTCTTACTCATATATTAAATCATTTAAATTAAGTTCTTTCTAATTATACTTGTATTTATACTTATAAGTTTATTTAGTATCATAAACATTTTTCAGAATTATTCCAATCGAACTCATTGTATAAGCAAAAGCATAACTAGAAAAAAACATTATAAAAGAAGACACAATCATTTCAATTTAATTCTTTGCTGAAAAATCTCCATAACCTACAGTTGTCATTGTCATAGTTGCCCAATAAAATGCTGAATTATATCTATTCCATATTGTTTCTTCATTCAATTGATTTTCAAGAATCCAAGAATTTTATAAATAATAAGTATTCTCACCTACATAATGCCATACACAAGCAATAATATGTGCAAAATAATATATTTGAATAATTAACTAAACTAAATCTAAAACAAAATTTTATCCTCCTTTTGAATATATATATTAATAATAATATTCTTGTAAATATCTAAGTATTTTTTAGTATATCAATATTATTTATAGAACTATTATTATTTCAAAACAAAAAGTAAATAATATTTAATATTTGATATCACCCCAAATAATTAATCTTAAAAAGTCAGATAAAGCATTTGATTTTAAATATTATTTAATTATTTTCTTCCTATTTGTTATCAGAACTGCAGATACAAATATTCCCCTATTAAATTGTGCCAAAAAATCAAAAATTAATTATATCAATATAATTTATTATAAGACTGATATTGTTTCGTTATAATAATTATTAAAGGCTCCCAAAAATGGAGTCAACCAAAGCATCATTAAATTACATATAAATCCAAATATATCCCATAAAATTATAGAATTTGTAGAAGGTAAGAATATAGGAATAACTGATTTATTTTCATAATCTTGATTATTAATATTTAAATACCTTTTTTCCTATGTTATGAAATAAATTATTTCTCAAGTAGCTTATCAGAAATTTTTTATTTCTGAGTATTTCTAAGAATGTATGAGTTAGTAAATAAGTTATTAATGAATCGATGAACATGTAACTATAATTTGAAGCTTTACAGAAAATGAGATTATTTTTATGTTTAAATTGTTCTTAGTGCTCTATTTGTTAAAAATTATGCATGTTTCTTAAATTCAGTCTTTAATTATATTATTTCATTACTTTACTCTCGAATCTTGACATATTCATATCAATGCTCTTGTTCTCTATCATATCTCTTTGGCTTTCTAATTGATAATCATCCTCTAGCATTAAGTTACAAGGGGATTCCTATTTAGATGATAATTATTGAGTCAGTGCAGATGGTCCCATTCTCTAAGAAACTAAAATCTCTTCCATTACTAATTATATAAAATATAATGTTGATTTAATAGTTAACCTTTTAATAATACAATACTTAATTCAAAATATATTTCAAATCCATAAAATTTATTACACCAAGATAAACAATGTCAGTTAAAAAAATATTCAGTAATATTTTTGTATGAATTCCTTTTAAAAATCATATAATTAATGATTTAAAGTTAGACTAACACCTTAATTAATGTTTTAAACTTAATTTCAAAGACTTTGCCTATATTAATTCAACTGTTATACAAAAAATCAACAAAAATAATATTTATCATACTTATTCAACTATTATTATATAAGTATTAAAATTGATAAATTCAAATTAGCCAATTTAAAGAATTTTAGATAATTGTTTTATTAATCTTGTATAATGATAAACAATAATTATTAGATGCTTTCTAATTATTCTGTAATTCAAATTTGATAGTTTCATAATTTATTATATCATTTTGTAGAATTCATAGCTTTTAATGAACTTATTAAGAGTTTGTTAATATATAAATTCTAAAGACAAATTTTATTTTGTTATATAGATATTTTTATTATTTTATAGTTTTCATGGTGATCTTTATAATAATTAAAGTATAATAATATTACTATAGATTTTTTTTTAGTGTTTATAAAAATAAAATTTTAATTAAATTTATAAATAAAACTAGTTAATTTTAGGATCTCCTGAAGCTTTAATATGATTTATTATAAGATTGTGAAATAGAGAAATCAATTGAATAATTTATTATAAATAATTTTTTTGTAAGAAAAATAATCATTAGACTAAAAATGGAACAAGTTTTTAATTCGAAAGTTCTAGATTTTAATGACATTAAAAATGAAACCAGCATTCATTATTAGTTCAATTAAAAAAATAATTAATGGCTAAACAATAAGGAGCTGGATCATTATGGAATCCAAATAGTTGGCATTGGGAAGAGAAAAATTACACACCAATTTCTAAGCAATTGATTGAATCTAAGATCAAATCATGTAAAGTTGAATCTGGAGATATAACTTTATTAAATTAAGAAGTGAAGTCAATTACTGGAGATGTAAGATTGTTAAACTATTTAAAGGCTTAAATTAATATTAGAAAAGGCAAACAAGTTTTAATATATGATTTTGATATAGAAGTTGAATGGCATGGTATTTAATATAAATGAAAAATTAGGTGTTAATAAGGATCATGAAGCAGAAGGGACATATAAAATTAAAGACTTGAATTCTTTAGATAATGATTTTGAATTAATTCATATTAGCTGCAATACTAAAACAGCAATTTCTGATAAATGCAAAGACTTAATTAAAAAAGACATGTTTAAAAAATTAAAAGAAGCTTTTACAACATTAATGCAAGAAATTGGTTAATATGAATCTGATCCAGAAAAATTGTAAATTTTGAATTTCTATTTTTTAGAAAAAAAGACTAGGAGGCAAGAAGAATAGCTGAAGAATAAGTAAGACTAGCAAAAGAATAAAATGGAGAATTAAAGGAAAAGATCTTTTATGAATAAAAGCTCAAAGAATAATAAATGAAATAAGAGTTCTCATAATTTGCATAAAAATGAAATTATAAATATTTAGTGTTAAATTAATTAATATATATAGTGTCTCTTTTCTTTTAAATCAGATTATTAAAATTTCTTTTAAAACCTATTTCTAAAAGTCAGATCTAATAATTTTTAGATAATTATTCTAATTGTGATGGTAAACCTCTTTTAATCATCAGGCATTTATTTAAACCAAACTTCCATATTCTAATATCTTTATCAATTTTATAATCTCCAAACCATTCTACTATCAAACAGCATTCCATAAATTTATTTTAGTTATTAATTTCTATCATCATCTTAATATTTGTTTTTTTTTATAATGAAATAATGTTTTTTCAAATTTGAACATTGTTATCATTATTTAATCATTCTTCATAATACTTTATATTTCCTCAGAATAAGTTTTATTTTTCTTTCTACTCTCACTCTTATTAGAATTACATACTCAATTAAATCACATTAGCTTAATCCATAATACTATTAAAAAATTAATATTTTATAATCCTTTATATTTTCTATATTTTTAATTTTATTTATTTTATTATTTTTTTTAAGATATCACTTTTATAGATGTTTTAATCTATGATTTGAAAGTAGTTCTTTTGAATACTACCTCATTAGAATTAAGTTAATAATATCCTTAATAAATATATTATGACTAACTTGACTTGATTGTATTTCTAGATCAATATTATAATAAATCTTTATTTAGTATAGTTTCTATCAAATCTAATTTCAAAACAATAGAGTTTTAGTCTAAATTTAGGAATTCCACATATTAAATTTATATCGAGTTAAGTTAATAATTTATTTATTTTTTTTTTTTTGAATTCTCTTTCTAATCTTATTTAATGTAATATCATAATATTAATTTACTATTATTTAACTAATGCAAAAAAGTGATCAAAGTAAAAACTCTGGTTGTTTATGTTTTGGTAAGAAATAAAAAGGAGAATTCCCAAAAACTTTCAAGAAATCAGCTAAAATCCTTAAAAAATATAAAGATAATAGTTTAGATGTATAATATTAATATTTTGTTAGATTTCAGATGATGCCATTTTAGAAGTGATGATTAGACTCTATATATCGGAGAACAAAAACAAAGCTATTGAAATGCTTTAAAGATGTCGTATTAATCCAAATTTTGAAGCTAACCTTATAAGAAATGATTTGGAATATTTTATCCCTCAACTAATTAATTTTTTAGTGTTTCATCAACAACTATCAGATGAAAGACTGATATAATTCATAACTAAAGCATCATAAATAGACTTTTTTTTTGCTCATCTTGTCTACTTCTAATTAAAGAGTTTATCATAAATTGTTGCTCATAATAATAGAGTAGAACTTAAAATAGTTTAAAAGTTTGTATAAGAATTCGAAGAAAAAATGACATCAAATTATTAAGGCAATTTATTAATAGCAACTTAAATATTAAAGATTCATCTTGATGATTCTTTAAAAAGTTCAACTTTAGGAAAATCAATAACATCATTATCAAACAAAAAAATTAAATAGGAAGTGTATCAAGGGTCTATCCGTATTAAATCACTTAAATAAAATGAAGTAATATAACTTTATGGAACAAATGAATGGGAATAAAATATGTCTAATAAAAGTCCCTCTTAATATATAGTAAGAAATCACGAAGAAATTGAATTAGAAGATTACACCTCTATTTTTGAGAATAATGAAAATATCTTACCTATTGATACTGCTTTTTAATCTAATTTAAACTTTTGGTATGATATTACTAAAATTTGTGATGAATTATCTAAATCGAATTCTAAAACTTAATATTTACATAGTTTATTAAATAAAATAAATGCTAATTTACCAGCAGCAGTATATGTACCTTTTGTTAAGAATTAAATCAGAAACTATGCTGTATTAAATATAGTATCTAGAGAAAGTCGAGTATTTTCTACCAAAATGAGAAGTCCTTATAGTTTAACACTTGAAATCTATAGGCCTGAAATAGAGGGAGATTATAATGAATAATAATTATTCGATAAATAATTGTCGTTAGCTATCAAAACTAATGTACATTATTATCTCATATTTATAGATGATAAAAAATGATGGAAACATTAAAAGTTAGTACATTATCTAAGAATAATAAACTACATAAATGAATAGAACATATTCACTTGCTGATGCATAAAATTCTTTTAATAATGAATTTTAAAATATAAAATTCAACTAATTTAATTATTAAAATAATGAACCAGAGTCTAATGGAATAGGATTATTTTATAATTATAGATAAACTAATAACAATAATTAAGATTCAGATTAAGGAGATGAAATGATAGATTAATAGATGATTATCTAATAACCATCATTTTCTAATGTAACTGATGATTAATCGAGTGATAAAGGAGTTGAATAAAATACTGATTTGTAGGTTTCTAAATTAGGAGATTAAAGCAAATTAGAGATAAGTTCTTTTAATAGTAGAGTTAGTTATTTATAAGATGGAAAAGGACTTGTTTTGAGTTAGGAAGAATATATAGAGATCAAATAAGCTATTTTTGGAGAAAATTCATTGGCTTAATAAGAAAGAATTAAAAAATAAAGTCCTTTTTAAGCTTTGAAATCTTGGAAATTAGTTCATTTGATTATAAAAACAGGAGATAATTTAAAATAAGAATAATTTGCTTTATAATTAATATGTTAATTTGATTAAATATTTAAGAAGGAGGGTTTACCTTTAAAATTAAGATATTATGAGGTATTATCATTAGGACCTGATAGTGGAATGATAGAAATGATTAAAAATGCTACTACAATCGATAGTTTATAAAAGAATCTTTAAAAAAAGTATACTTAATTTAGTGATTTCTCTGATTTTTTCAGATCCTTTTTTAGAAATAATATTGAATAAGCATTATAAAATTATGTTTAATCCCTTGCAGCCTATTGTTTAGTTTGTTATTTCTTATAAGTTAAAGATAGACATAATGGAAACATATTATTAGATGATGAAGGTCATTTGATTCATATTGATTTTGGATTTTTTTTATCTATAGCTCCTGGTAAAGGAATGGAATTTGAAGGGAAAGTTCCATTTAAATTGTTATCTGATTACATTAAGGTTTTAGGTGGTGTCAAAGGAACTTTGTTTTAAGATCATTTCAGAAAATTATTTTATAAGTATAATTATTTATATATTATTAGAGGATTTAAAGCTTGCCAAAAACATTAGAATGAAATATTAATATTGGTAGAAATGATGTATACAGGTCATGGAACAACACTACCTTGTTTTTAAAAAGGGGAAGTTGCTTTAAAAGAATTAGAAAATAGATTTAACCCAAGAGTTGCTTCAGATGCTGAATTATTTGTATATGTTTAAGGATTAATTAATAAATCATTAGATAATTGGAGGGCTAGATGGTATTATGTATTTAATTAATTATTAGGTATGATAAATTTTAA